TTCTATTCCTTGTTTCACCACTCTTTGTTTTTCCTTTTATGGATTGACGACAATCATGACATGTATTTCTATAATTCTGTAGTACAACAGTTGGCAGCCTTTTCACTCTTGGACCCCTGTATTTGTACTAATTTTCAAACATTCTGTGGATTCCCTGGGTGTTTTACGGCTCCACGGACTACCATAGGGGTCTAAGGACCCCCATGTTGGTAACCGCTGATGTACTAATTTCATTCCGAAACAGTGCAATTTAGCCCAAAGCATTACATCAGCGGTATTTGTCAGCTTAATAATGCCAAACTCGTTTAACCAATCCCTGGTTCTAGGATGTTCAAAGACCCCCTGAGTACTACATCGTATTCGAATATTCGGGATATTCATTAAGTACAGAAATGTGCCAATGGGGTTGCTAGCATCCCAAATATTTAAGAGGGTTCCTACTGTTGCCAACAACTACAAACAGAAGATGCTTGGCTACGCCCCCTGTTTACCTCCATACTGGGTTGACTCCGGATAGGCCTCTTGGCCGCTCGAATTACCTGTGGTTGTGTGGTTTACACCCGGACACATATAGTCCGGGGAATCCCTGAAAATAAGAATGATTAGTGCTAATATTACGCTACCTGCACTTATCCATTGGCCAAAACGAATCAACCAATCATTTTCTTACAAATATCTCAAATATGAGATAAATACAATTACATTAATTATCTAGTAAGATATTTAGTATGAGAATATATATTTTAGTTTTTCTGGTTGCTGCGTTGCTAGGGGCACTACTTGTGGAATGTGGCAGAGATTTTTACAAGATTCTAGGTGTGTCACGAAGTGCTACCAGACACCAAATAAAGAAAGCTTATAGAGCGCTAGCAATGATACATCACCCGGACAGAAGTTCTGATCCAGATTCTGAAGAGAAATTTCATGATATTGGGGCTGCCTATGAGGTTCTGAACGATAAAGAAAAACGAAAAATCTACGACGAGAGGGGTGAAGAGGGTTTGAGCGGTAATAGACATGGCGGGGGAGATGTGTTCTCATCTTTCTTTGGAGGGTTTGGATTTGGTTTTGGCGGTGGACAGAGACAGGGTCATCATGAGACCCCTAGAGGAGCAGATGTACTTCTCGAGGTGTTGGTTACTCTTGAGGAGTTGTATAATGGTAAGTTACATGGTATAGAACTATAGATTATATGTTGAATTCTTAAGATAGGAGATACTTGTATGGTTGGGGAGGAAATTAGCCGTTTACAAAAACAAACAAACAATTGCGTACTGTTTCCCTGGTTTATCAGGTTTGAATAAAAAGCACTGGAAGTAATAATACTAATCTCTTAAGATCCCCTGTATATTAGCATGTCTGAATGAACTGATGCTTAAAATATGCTTCCTAGCCTCCCAATAAATTACGACGCCTGGATGGTAAGAATGAGTGAAATTATATATAATTATCCTCCCGGAATTAACTATTATTTTTGCCATCAAGGAAGGCAACATAACGGGGCTCTCAACCTGGAAGGCTTCAAAATCGTGAGATGTACAATTTAGTATTAGATTTCTATGAAAAGACCAGGGATTCTGTAGTATTTGTAGACCCAAGATCGTGAGAGTTGAGAACCCTGATATAATTATATAAGGCACTGTAGACTAATATTTGTTTCTCTTTCACGTCCGTCCTAAATCTTGTCCCCCGTCCGGAAAGATTTTATTGGTATTTTTCCAAATTTATGAATAATTCTTTGGTCACAGAGTGTGCAATCCACATTTTACTATTTGATAGTTGAAAGATTCAATATTTTTAATGTCCAGAGAGATGTGGCGATATAATCGGAGGGTCAAAATATTTATACATTAACTGGCCTATAAAAAATCTAATAAAATACTGCCCGCAGTGCCAGTTTCTGAAGAAATTCCGGATAAGGAACAGGTAATTAATTTTAGTGGCCTAATTAGCTCTATTTTGGCTATAATACTGTCTAGACATATCTCTTACTATCCAGTAGATATCAAAAAGTAAAATTCCTTCCTTACAATCATACGTTGTTTTTTGTTGCTTGACATCTAATCGTATTTCTTTGTACTAATTAACCCTACCTAGTTCGGGGTACTATTGTTAATTATTCCATAGTATACATTATCTTATTGCATATTTTAGGAGAATTTGTTGAATTTCTACGGTCTAAGCCTGTATACCAGGAAACAAGTGGGACAAGAAAATGTCGTTGTACCTCTAAAATGGTAACACGGCAATTAGGACCTGGACAGTTCCAAATGTTCCCTGAGGAAGTTTGTGATTCTTGTCCGAACAAACGATTGGTTACTGAAGAAAGGAACTTAGAATTTGAAATTGAACCAGGGATGTCTAATGGACAACAGTACAGGTTCAATGGTATGTTATATTTGTATAGTAATAATTTATAATTTTATTATTGGCATGTAAATGAAATGAATTTATATTAGAAAATTTAATAAATTAGATTTCTCATCGGCTATGGATTTCTCCAGGAAATTTCTTATGGAATTCTAGCCTTACTTATATCGCAAAATTTCCACTAGATATACACGTACCTTTGGGTGGCACATGCTACATCATGTACATATATATATATATATATATTAACTGGAAATTTTCGCATGCGTCGGAAATCTGGGTTTACGAACCCCTGAGTTTTACGTTCTGAAATTTGGCCATATGACACATATCACACCTATAGGAGAGGGAGAGCCGCACATAGACGGAGATCCTGGCGATTTTATTGTTCAGATTCAGACAAACAAACATGTCATATTTGAGAGGAAGGAGCACGATTTATACACTAATATTTCAATAACTCTGAGAGATGCGTTAACTGGATTTAAGATGAATCTTACACATTTAGACGGACACAAGGTTTCTGTCGTTAAAGATACAGTGACAGCTCATGGAGATATTATCACTATTTTAAGTTAGTTATTGCAGCAGTTATATGTTGAGTTATATGCTGTAGGTGGGGTTCTAATAATACGAGAAGTCATACTTTTATTTTATGCACCTTTGTCGAGCAGGGCACATGGCTGATACAATATTTTAAGAATTTTAATCTGTCCTAATTGTATCTAATTTATACCAGATTAAAATAGAAGACAAATTAGACAATACTAAACATTTTATAGCCTTTTCATTGTTGTACGTACAGTAATTATACTATATCCCATTAATCCATGGGTGATATATAGAATATTACGTAATGTTATATCAGCTAACATATAATATTATATTTATTTATCAGATGAAGGTATGCCGTTCTACGACCACTACACAAGGAGAGGGAATCTTTATATCACCTTTGAAGTTGAGTTTCCCGTCAAGACCTTCTCACCTACAGAAGCTGAAAATATCGTGACTCTTTTAGGCCAGAATTCTGAACAGTCTGCTTATAATGGACTCTAGGACATTCCTTTTACCATCCTTGTTACTAGGGAAATGTTATGTATTAATTATTTATGTTATTAAGTTTAGGAAGTTTATTACTTCTAAATTTAAGTTTATTCATATTTTCTTGAAATATCCACTAGATACAAATCTTATAATTCAATTCCACAATTCATTATTACCATTAATATACATACAGTCAACTCCCGTTATATCGAACACGAATATATCGATATACTCGCTTATCCTGAAGTCTGATGTTGTGCTAATATGAGCTCAAACAAAGTATTAACATACATTTCGTCGATTATATCAAACTCCGCTTATATCGATGTAATTATCGCGGTTTCTTAAGCTTAGATGTAACAGGAGTTGACTAGTAGATCATGTTAATTGGACCACTTCTGTTCAGATAATTAAGATTTCCGGAGTGTTCAGTACCAAAAATGCAATACAGTGGAAGCCACTTAATATTCGGTTTATCAGGATAGAAGTCCAGAATATGAGCGATAATAATTTTCAAATATTAGGTAGTCGGGATGATAAATCCCGATTAACCGATTCTATCTCCAATTATCCGATGATATTTGTATGTAAAAAATTTGTTCCCAAAACATTGTCCCGATTAAGCGGCTTCCACTGTATACAGCTACAGTAGAACCTCGTTAATACGAACACAATCAAGACATACATCCCGAGTGGCCAGTATTGGGAATAATAAATTTAGTATTATGAAATTTTAAAAATTCGAATTATTTTTGTAATTATGCTAATTATCCACTCAATGTTATGTTACGATCATATTTATCATAGAAACTATTGTCATTACTACTTATCTACATTTTGCAAAAACAGTAAAAACGGTCTGATGACCAGCATATGAAGAGTAATAGGTTCGGGGTTATGCGAACATAGCACCAATGGAAGGACTAATATGTAGAATTTGTCCGCCTTCGTGAGTCTCACGATTTCGGGTTTAAAATACTACAAAATCCCTGGTCTTTCCATAGAATACTAATACAAAATTACAAATCTCACGATTTTGAAGGTTTCCAGGTGAGAGCCTTGTTAACCGGAGTGATACCAATTGAATAACTATTATAGGGACCTGATTATGTGCATATATTTGTTATCTTAGCCAGAAATTCGTATTAACCGTATTTGTATTAACGAGGTTTCGAGTCAATTTTTAGGGTTCGATAGCGATAGAAATTGTATCGACTGCACTGTCCACAGAATAATCTAGCCCTGTGTATAGGGATATTAGCAGGTCTGTCGTCAGTGTCGTGTGTATTTCTGTAATACCATACTTACCAACACTTTAAATTTCCCTGGATACATTTCTCGAAATCCCTGGATTTCTAAATTTCTATGCAAAAACTATGAATTTTTCCCTCTTTTATGAGAAAAATCCAGAAATATCCAATATTTCCCCTGGAAATCCCCTATCCTGGATGGTGGCTATCTACGTGATATTGTGGCATTTCATTTTACATATAAAAGACCCTTAGTTATAATGCTCTCATTATTGAAAGTATAAATAGATTTGAATTTGAATTGATATTTAGAGGCTAAACATAACGCTACTTCGCTTATTAGTTTAATGGACAAACTCTTGACTTTAGATCGGATTATCCAAGTTCGATTCCTGGGTAAGCAATCCTCACTGCGATATGTGCATCCTCCTTAGTGCTATTATAATCGTACGTAGCAAAACAATAGTTAGAGCAATTACTAGTTTCTAGTCTATGATTTCTAGGTAACTGGGGCGAGGACGACATTTTAGGCCTTCTGTAAATTTATATGTTGTTGTTATTGTTACGGCACAAAAGTCTATACGTCTCAGTTATTTAAATATAGCTAATGGTGATATGTAACTATATATGGTACATGTATGGGCTGAAGCTCCCTTACAGCTAAATATCCTGTACCCAACCTTCATATTAATTCAAATGAAGGGTAGCATGGTAGGATAATGGGTGGACACATTAGATAGAATTTACATGCAATTCAGAAATTGACTCCTGAACAGCTCATGTTTAAGCTTCTTCAATGTATTCCGATGTTCCCCTCCAGCAAATTATTCATGTGTTCATCATTCAACGGTTTTGATTACGCTTAACTTTTGGTAGACTTACTTATTTACTTCACAAATGTTGGGATAAACTTTCGAAATATTATTAAATAATTGAAGTTAACAAGAAATTATTGTCAATGTACAAGTCGGATAGTAACTTTTTAGATCGTATCGTAACGGGTGATGAGTCTTGGTTTCATTATTGAGAGTTGCTATGTTATCGAAAAATCTGTCCGGCCTGACAGTTTTTCGAAAACATCTCCGGTACAGGGATCGTGTAAATTCACTTTGTGGTACCGGTAACGGAATTACTGTGAATCAGGAACTGTTTATATTTCTTGCTTCTTTATTAATGCAATTCTCCTTATTACTTCAATTTGTAGTATTTGTGTATGTTTTCTGTATATTTCACAATTTTTACATTAGATGAGAATTAAGATTATGAGTTTATGTACTCGAGGGCCGTATGCACGAGTGTGGGACGAAGTGTTTGCAACCGCGAAGCGCGAGCAAGCGAAGCGCGCTCGTCTGACAAATTTTTGAATTCATTGCAAACTATCAGAAAGTGTTTGAACTGTTTGGAAATGTTTGCAATTGGTTGTAATATTTTGGAACTGGTTCGAATGTATTGGAACTTGTTGGTAACTATTGGAATGTGTTATACCTGGTTTGAATGTTTTGGAATTAGTTGGAAACTTAAATTTATGACTATTCAAATGTCTATCCATTTACATTCATTTGTTTATTATTTTATTTCAGTTTCTCTCGTGTATTTATCTCTTTATCATATATAGTGGATTCCAGAGAATATTGTTATGTGGTTTAGAAGTTTGGCTATTTGTTTAGAATAGCAAATAATTCTCAATTTTTGAAGAGAATAATTTGCTAAGTAGTAGTATATCTCTTGAATCCTCTACAATGGAAATCCTATGGGAATCCATAGGAATTCTCAGGAATTCCCATAGGATTTCATATGGAATTTCAGAATTCCAGTTCTGATTTCCTTTCTAAGTATGATCGTGTTTGAGTAGGTAGTGTTCACTTTGATTTGTCATTTTGCACAAATCAAAATTGAACATAGCAGTTTCCATTAGTTTCCACCAATTTCCAACAGTTTCTATCAGTTTCCTATTGGGTGCGTAGAGTCCATTTGAAGATTTTCAGATTTTGAATGTTAAAACTTCACTGATTTATCATATCATTAATCATGCTACAGATTTCGTTTCAACTGCTAGCCAGGGGTAATCGTGTATGTGGATTCCAAATTTGAGATTTTCATTGATGATGCAGAGACTATGAACTTTAATTGTTGATTTGTTTATGTAGATTATCTAGGTTATATTCATCTATATTTGTCTAATAGGTAGTTATATCCAATATATTGGTAAAATCTTTCCCAGAAACTAATTTCTCGAAATAATATTTTAAAAGCGGGCATTTCAACTAATTAGCACACCTAATACTAAATGTTTGAACACTACAATACCGTAATTTAGTTGATGTATTCACAGTAGCACACATTTATATATCAAATATGTCAATAAATTGGAACAGAAAGAAATACTTTAATCTATTCAACAAACTAACTCTCCGTACATTCCTTCATCCTAATCCGCACACTATCAGCTACATGTACCAGAACCTTCTACCCAAGAAAACTATAAATAACGTCAGCATGGAAGCAGGTCATCTACGTAAATTCACTCCAGACGGTAAACTGCTTATAACATTCAGTAGAAACCAATCTGAAATAGTTGTGTATGAGTATCTGGGTGTTGGTAGAGGGAAGAGTGAGAGAGCTACAGCTGATAAAATATTCAAAGATATTTTCCGTAAACGTTTCAGTGTACAGATTGGTAGAGACTTCTCATTCGTGCCTCAGTGCTGTCTCTTTACAAAAGACTCTAAGTTTCTTATAGCGGGTGGTTTCAAGAAGGAATATCTAAAACATTATAATCCTGATCCTAGATTGGATCATAACGATAATTTGGTTTTCTTCGGCACTCTTCATTACATTGAGACATATCGTATTATGCTAATAAACCTCTCTACTGGATTGAGAGCTGATAAAGTTGATTTCCCCAGGGATATGCTGCTACTCTCTACTATTCACGGACTCAGTGTATCAGTTAACGCGTATAAAGTAGCTATTCTGTCTATGGCTAAGCAGAATATTCATCTGTTTGATATCAGCGAGGAGAGAGGAGGGCAGCTGTTACCCTCTGATATTCTAGGACAATTTCTAGTCCAGGCTGAGTATGAGCTATTCTTCACACACCCAGACATTAGCTCCAGACCTTTATTACCTAAGAATTATCCGCATCTACTTACACAGATGAAACAGAAGATAATGCGATTTCTATTCGTAAAGTCTAACGAAGAACCTGAACCTCTTAAGCGTATGCACAAACTATTGAGATTCTATTTCCACTTCGAGACAGTACGCAAAATGAAAATATGGAAGATACAGCTGTTAGATCCATTTCGTCTCTTCATTCGATACAGTCATGAGAGAGTTATCTACAAGCGACAAGACCAGGGCCCGAAGTATAACATGTGGGTATTTTATGATCTGCGTACTAACTCTGTGTACAGAGTGTTCGCTGATATGCTTGACAACCTGGATGAGCTGATGACGTACTACGAAGAAAATAGAGCATTATTAGAAGGATCTCCAATGCGAGATAACATATATGCTATGGAAATACACAGACAATATAAACAGGGTCTGGTAACAGCTAGAAATGGAGGTCCAAAAGAAGCAATTATTAGGACCTTAAGCCAGCTGCCATTCTCTTGTCAGGCTGTACACGAGTCTCCATTTCTTAACAGGATGATATTCAGATATAATGATAAATTCGTACCAGTTATAGACAGGCCATGGAGTGAAGTGTTTGAACACCCGATTGGTTTCTTCCATCAACATCAACACGCTCTAGCCTTCCAGCCGAGACTGCGACCGCATGATAATCCAGCTAGAGAGATGGTAGCATTCACATATCATCCTATTGATCCGTTCATAATATCTGTACAGAGGGGAGATGTTAACTTTTATATTAACTTCCACATGATTATGTAATTGTGCTGGTGGTCGTGATATTTGTATATTTTGATCCTTGTTTGAATTCACTTTGTATATATTCTCTTTATTGAAAAGATATAATTTTAATTCCTACAAATTTATTCGTATTATAGTAAATAGTTAGTGAACAGATAGTTCCACTCAGTTTTTGAGTATGTTGTCGATAGCTCGACCAGTCCTTGAATATAATAGCTATTAGAGTTGTCTGGACAGATTGTTAATGGCTTAGCACGAAAGTTAGCTCATTATTATTCCAGTGTCTCCCTACTTGTTTTTGGAGTTAACGGACCCCTGGGTCCGTATATCGCTAGCATATCGGAAAACAACCCAGTAAAATAGGAGCCCTTACTAATTTCTCACACTACACTATCTTCAACTGACCATATGTTAAAATATACCAAGCTTAATCAGGAAATATCTATTGCAAAAACATACGAAATGTCTTCTTGTTACTTGTCCAGTGTTGGTGACATAGAATTGATCAATGTATCATTAAGTATTCACAAAATCTACCCTCTTCACTTGCTAATCTCTACATATACTAGCTGGTGAAAAGATCAGGATAATTGGTAGGACTGGAGTTGGTAAATCAACAATATTCAATGCTTTGTGCAGAATGGATGAGATATATCAAGGTTGTATTTTTATAAACAGAGATGATATCTCCAAGTCGAATCTATATCAACATCGTAAGAGACTATCTGTCATTCTACAATATCCAGTTTTTTTCTCAGGATCTCTCAGATTCAACTTGGATCCATTAGATGAGTCCAGTAATGAGGAGATATGGGAAGTTATTGAGAAGTGTCATCTACAGAAGATGGTAGAATGTTTGTCTGATTAGCTGTTGTCTCACGTGGAAGAAAATGGTTCAAATTTCCCTACATGAGAGCGTCAGCTTTTCTATCTAACTCGGGCTATCCTCATGAAGAATAGATAATACTGATTGACATCTAATATGGACATATACACAGTGACACTGATAGTGCAATAGGCAATCCATACTCAGTGATTGCATAGTAATCACTATAGCTCATAGATTGAGACTATCATAGACTCAGATAGAATTCTAGAAATGGGAAGCTTATTGAATTAGAAATTCCAATCTTAATGCTTGAAAATTAGGATAGTTACTTGAACAAGCTACTGTCCTACATGGATCCGTTGTAATTATAGGTTGTAATTTTAGATATTTATTGTACCGACTACTACGTTTGTTTACCCGTTGTAAAGGAAATGATTTATGGAATGTTGTATTGAATTTGAATTTCTCAATTCTCAGATGTTGCATAACTATGTATTTATCGTGTTTACCAAGAAAGTAAACAGAATTGAATAAAGCTTGATTAAATATATCGAATGTGCTGAATCTGGCGTTCACATTTTGAATTAATCATACGTAACACTTTATTGAATTGTTCAATAAATATAAAATTAATTAATACTATTGAGAAAGAAATCTTAATGGAAAGTGATCTCATATTAGAAGCGCTAGGTTACA